TTAATCAACTCCTCTGAAATTTACATTCTGGCCGACTGATCAATATTCAGTACAAAAAAAGCCGGTCTCTGAACTAAGTATTGAATTGCGTAGGTATGAAACAAAGCATTTTGAGAGTTTTAACAGGTTTCGGCGTTGCATACTAGCTAGGTAAGTACTTTGAGCATATAACTATCGAAGTCAACCTATTGTCACCTTATGTTTCTGAAATGACCATAAAGATTTTGGCCGTCCGAAAATTGACCATTTAGCTTTATGCATTGCGAAGATAGTCTGCTTTAAAACGATAACGACCTTTTTGCGTCGAGAGTGAACTAAAGTGCACAAAGATGTTTGTCTTTGTTACATTAATATGCATCGTAAATTAATTAGAATTTCCTTAGGCCCACTTTTCTAAACGCACAGGACGATTCGCGTCTGCCAAAATAATTACAATCACCATACCTAGGTTAGATCCTTTGACTGCTCAATAAGCTGAGAAGTTTCCTCAAGAGCTTTAATCAGAGTTGTCCTTTTTGCACCGTGAGTAACTGACGCTACATAGAACTATTTCAACCCTTTTAAAGTGAATTTGTTGTGTGATTTAAGTTGCAATTAATAACAGTTTTGTTCGTGATGGATAAATCACATCACAGTAGTATTTACCAACTCAAGTTCTCTGTTTTCTCAGTATCAGTCGCAAACACCTCAGAATAAAAGCAATCGGAGAAGAGTGAATGTAGTTGTCATCTGATGAGTCACAATTGGAGGAACGTAAATTTATACGAGGATGTTTTGAAATCATATGTTGTTTCATAAAAATATATAATTTTCTTGCGTGAAGAAGCTCTTAAGGAATACTTTTATGATTACTGGTGCGTAATTGTATCCGATTCTCTTCGTCAGTAAAAGAGAAAAAAAAATCAAAGACCGATTTTTGCCTTGTATCCAGTGAAAGTGGTTATTCTGATCCTCTTTCGATTACTTCGTCAGATAAGACTTTTCTGGTCGTTTTCATCAAGTTACACGCATATCAATAATCAAGAGTAAAAATGGAATAGAATTCGTATAAATTTGCTGAAGTTTAATGCCGGTTTTTATAAAATGAAAGGTAAAGTACCTTTACTAAGACTGAATGATGAATGCCACACAAAATGCATAATAAATACATACGACATACACAGTGCTATCTAAATTTTGATCTTCATGCCTGAGGCGAATTTTCAAGAAACTTTAATAGCACAGCTGAACAATTTAGCGATTAAAGACGATCACTTCATGTTGCTTCTTGCTACTTTCTGTTTTTAAAAAAGAATTTTTTCGAAACTTTTTCTATATATATTTGAGCTCCGCTCACTATCATTGCCAATAATCATTTTGTCATTGCTGCTTAAGAAACAAGTATGCAGCCCGAAGTAATTATCATGATGAGATTCATCAAGATTAACTTTAACATGCCCAACTTGATGCTTGTTATTCCGTGTCCTCAAGAGAAAATTATGGGACAGCCTGGAAAATCACGATGTTGGCCGGAATATATGAGGATTTCAGTTATTAGGCTATTTTTAGCTTCGGGTGGAAAGCATAGTGGTTTCCTAAGGTAGTTTCTTATCACCGCGAGTCAGTTTAGTGTTAAAAGAACCAATCTCATCGTTTTTCGCCATTATGTCAATCTCCTTCTCTTTCCTATAATGTTTGCCTAATGTCCTCACATAAGCGAAAGACCGAGCTGTAGCAACAAGGGATTCAGCTTTCAAACAGTCGATAACGATTACTTTAGATTATAAATAACTCTTCGTGATACCGTAACATAAAACAAGTAGTGTTAATCAATGCCGCTGTAAAACTTGAATCTATACCTTAGCCGAATTTAACGGTGACGGTCTTTTACAAATAAAGATCATAAACGAGATTCAGTGTCTAGAGGTTTTTTATCGTTTTTGTTGCAACAAAAACTTTCTAACGAAAACGGAACTGTGTATTGTTACATTACTTTCCTCTCAGGCGCCATTTACCAGCTTGCTAGTCAGTAAATCAAATATTTACCTGCTAGGTAATCTCTATTCTGATTGTCGGTATCTAAAACATTGATATTAGCAAGGACACAAGGAAATGTCCATAATTGTTTGAGATTTAAAAGTTATTGACAGTTTAAAATACTTCTTGATACAGCTTGGAATATTTCTTGATAGTTTAAAACACTTCGAATTCTATTCCAGATTTTCAAACGCATCGAGGGGATCTGGGATTCATTCTCTGAATAACAATGATGATTACAAAACACTCTTCCGCATGGAAGGCTAACCTTGGCCGTATAAATTGAAAAATCTCATCAACGGAGAAATATGAAGATATGATCCTTTAATTATTTCCAACTTTTCGACTTGTTTGCGTTTTCATTACCCTTAAAATAAGACAAGAATCGACCCAATCTGCTTCTAAAACTCGTCTTCGTTATCGTAAAATGTAGATGTTGAACGAGGGCCAAGTCATTAAGAACAAGGGACTCAGTACAACAAAACAAAACATTGACAAATGAGATACAAGGAATATATGAAGTTCATATATTTTGAACTGCGGTATTAGATACGTATGATGCACGATCTTCGCAGTAGATAGCGCAGTAGATAGGGCTATCTACTGCGAGGATCGTGCATCATACGTAAAACATTGATAGCAACTTAAACGCATAATCACTTTGCAAAGAAATAGAATTAACAAAGACGACAAAACAAAAAAAAATTATGAATCAGTAACGGTAGACAGATTCTAATTTGTGTCTGCATATTTCTGTTTGTTTATAAAATCGTCTATGGCCTCCTGGCTTTCGTTTATGGTTGTCTCATTTGAAATACTGCATCACAAGTAGCTTGGGTGGCTGGAGGTTTTATGTGCTCTTTACGGTTTTGTGTTCGCCAAGCGCTGAGCGACGAAATCGCAGGCGCCGGGTAATTAACCATGTTACTTCCCAATTCTCGCGCAACTTCGCAGCTCATCGCTTAACTAAGCACAAAACCGTCAGCTACGCAGGCTAAATCACAATTTTTCACATCTAAAGGATAAAGCAAGCTACGCTTCGTAAATGGTTCTTTTCATAAAATACAGATCTTTTTTTTGCGAAAGATGAGAGTATTTTTCATGATCAATTTCGCAGTTTCCGATGCTAATATTGTGCAAATATTATATAAAATTTACCGGCATTCGAAAACACAATATGCATGACTGATGATCGTTTCCGAGGAAGCGGTCTGTAGAGCTCCTTATCTTAATCAACTTTACTAACGGAGGTAATATTGGTCTGAAATCGAGTTTCGAATGATATTAGGAATGCTTTTGATCTTCCGTTTCGGCACATGAAAAAGACCTTATCTCTTTGCGTGATCTCTTGAAAACTTCAAAAACATGTTTTTAATTTGATGTGCGAGTTTTTGCACCTCCTGTGTAGTTTACAGATAAGATCTGTTTTGTTTAAGCATAAAATTAAGTGAACAATAATGGCACAAATTTGGTAAAATGACTGGATCAGTTTAAAGCTCTTTACGCCAATATCTAAACACGGTTTCGTTTGAATTCTGACTAATTGGATCGTGTCTGAAATGTCTCCACCGAGTAGACAAATGTCTCTGGGTAATGATTCAATTTTAATTAAAAGATGATCCCCTATTGGACAACGACTGAGGTGCAATAAAGTGTACTTTGGAAAACAGCAATATATATTTCTTTGCAGCCAGACTTCAATTAATCATCACCGCCTCAGCTTGCAAAATAACTTTCCAATGCTTTTTCGAGGTCTTAGGTAAGTCACACAAATCAGTATTTTACATTAAAATAAATAACTAACTAGTAGAACTTCTTCTTACTGGGCGAAGATTTGAATTTATCTTCCTTGCACCTTGCAGAGGATAAACGTTTTAAAATATCTTGAGTTGCTTCTTAGCTTTATTTCAGGTATGATACCAAATAAAACACTACATGAGAGAGTTCAAATTAGCTTTTGTATGAGAAGAGACGCAGAGAAAAACATGGAATTCCAAGAAAACAACAACAACAAAAAAACAACAAAGTAACAGGGAAACACCTTGTTTTTGCTCTTACCATTTCTTTAATTTTAGCACGACCTTTTCTCGAAGGTTTTAAATAAGGATTTTTAATTATTGTCTTTAATAATCCTTCAAGTAGAAAAAGGAATATAGAAATCAGATCTGGGGTAATAGGAACATAACTCGAAAAGGGTTAGGAAAGACATTTTTTAAAATAAAAACGCAGAGCGTATTTCATTATAATCCAACTGCTCTCATCCCAAAGGAAATTAATGTATAATTTCTAAAAATGTCTGACTTAAATGACAGCGTAAAATGGTCCATCAAGGAAATTGAAATCATACTTCACTCAAAATTGAGAAATACGAAGCAGAATTTATGTCGATTTAAATAAAAAACGGCTTATGCCGAAAAACATCTGTCAAGTTTATCAAACCATCATATATATAGATGGTTCAGTCTCTGAAAAATTTACAAATAGACTCAACAAGTACTTCACTATGTACACTGATGACAATTTTTCGCGAATATTCGAACCATCCAATTTTACCTCTTATTGTATCCCCTTCAAAGTTTGTCCTTCTTTAAACGGTGAACCTTTTTATATCACTCCAAAGCTGTAAGTTATCTCATGAAATATCACTACTAAATATTGTGAATTAACGCATGAAATATCAAACCCTAATGAAAACATGAATGTCAGTTAAGTAAAAGTCAATGTATTCTTTCATTTGGCTTTCTCGTAATTGCAAACAAAGGTAATTTTCCTTAGTGTCAACTTTATCTTATCTCTTTCTACCCGCGATTACCTTGAATACCCGAATCAGCGAGAACATCATATAAAAAATTAAAGTTCCTATGTTAGGTAGATGGATCTCTTTGATTGGTTGGACATACATGATTGCTTTTGCTTGGCTTTTTCTCTTATATTTATCAGTAGATACTGTAGAAATATTTCTTGATTAGTATTTCAGTCTAGATTTCGCCGCCTGCCTTTCTGGCAAGTTGATTTTACTAGAGATGAGAAAAGCTACTGGGAAAAACGGAATTTGTCTTCTTCTCTTTAAAGTAAAAATCGATGTTTCTTTATACCTAATAGGAAAATAACTTACCCGCACATTTAATTTGTTACGTTTTCCCGGGCAATGTGTTAAGGAATAAGAATAGCCTTTTATAGACTGGGTCGCAGTCTGGTGGTTTTCCAAGTGTGTTTCAATTCATAAAGCTTCAAGTTCTTAATGGGTAATGAAAACTTTTAGCGGACAGTGAAAAAACAAAATATTTTTAAAATCTCTGTTAAGTAAAAAAAAAAGGTTCGCTTTCTGTGACTAAAAGCAGGTTTTGCAAACCTGTCAATAATGAGGACACATGCTCGGAAATTATCTTAAAATAAACACGATCCGCAACAACATCGAAGGACGTAATTCCAAGATAGAGCAAGTCGGAAAATGCTTCTTTAAATGATTCGATTAAAGCATAAAAAAGTCTCCAATATTACTTTTTTTTTAATCTTAGTCTTTTCTCGTACCTATACTTTTTACATTTACAACTCTAATTAAAACAATAATTGGTAGGCCTCTTGCATTTTCTGATAATGTTTTATGAAGATTCAAAATGGTACGGGCAAGCAAAAATTGCAGTCTCGCGTTTTTTACAATGATGTGAGCATGAACAAAGCGAGATAAAAGAATTTTGGCCGCATGTTTGTTTTTTTTACAGCGCATTTCTCATCTTCTGTCCACGACAAATGAAAAAAAAGAGAAATTTGAAATTATTGATATCACTGCGTAATGGACAGAGGCAGATGGCATCTCTTTTTCACCTGTGTGATCATTGTGTAATACTCGTCTGATGTCGCTGACGTTTCATGTTAGTTATCACTATCAAGGTCAATATAAGAATCAGATTAAATCAACTGAAAATTTCCTCCATCGAGTCCATTATTCGAGAACTACATCTTTTGAAAACGTCGACCCCTTTAATCCTCATGAGTGAGTGATCAAGACGGAATTTCTCCATACAATATCAGTAGAGTAGCGAGCAGACAAGTGATGAGAATATAGAAATATATCAATTAGGGGATTATTAGTTGATCCAGTACCAAACTCTCCGGAATAACATTATAAAAATTGTATAGCAGATGGTTTGCTATCTTAATCGTGAAATCTTGGGCGTAAAAGGTTTAGGAGACCGACACCAAATTTGCAGCTGAACACAAACTCGCTTTCATAAAACCTTACGTCAAATTTGGACACAATAAAATAGCTACAAGTACAAAGCTAAAAAGTAGATCTAAAGCTCGCGGATAGCGTTTTGAAAAATGAGTCCAGGATTCATCCCACCCACAACAAATTAAGATACAAACAGGTTTTACTTCATTGAGACGACTGCAACGGAAACCTAATAGTGACAGCTTCATTTTGACGATAATTTTTTTCATTTATGTCTGCGACAAAAGGTTTAAAATAGACCCCTGAACGTCTTTTAATCATTCTATATGCCTCCCAATCATTTTAATCTACGTCATAAACATCAGAACCGTTCAACAGATACACAAATCACTCTTTTTTTAGTTCTTTGAGGCTGTATGACTAGAAAGCGAGTTAGCTCAAGCCCAAGTGTTGTTGATAATTACGATTAGCGTATAAGATGTTTTTCTAGGTTAACTTTAATACGTTTCCTCGGTAAACTGTAGAGGAGAAAGATTTACGACATCAACTCCACTATGGGGAGAGGGGAGGTGGCATGGCGTATGAAATACAACGTGAAATGGTCCAAACAAAAAAATTGTAGAAGAGTTTGAAATATTCTCTCTTCGTGGCGCAGCAAAATGGAAAATTGGAAAATTTTACAAGGTAACCGACCTTTTACGTCCCTACACAACAAACAACTGAATAAATAAATTAGCATCCTTTTAAAATTTGTTAAAAGATCTTTATCGCGAGTTCAGGGCTACCTTAAATTGTTGATCATTTGAGAAAGCACTTTGTCTATTGTGCAACTGAGTTTTTAATTGTAGTGATAAAAATATTATCGCAAACACGCCTCCACAACAGGATGCTTTTGCTTTCACCCTCTTCTTTTTTTCTACCAATTGGAATTGTCGTGTTACTAATGAAGAAAAACGAACAATTGAGATGGTAAGTCCTCGTCCCCCGCACGCACATTACATGTATATTACATCTTTAGATCAGAAAACAAACAACGGTGGGATAGGATTTGTATCTACCTGGTTGCCAGGTGTATTTGTAAATTTGGATTAGTGCCTCGGCTCTAGACAAACATTTCAACTTTGCCTTTGATAGCACGTTTACTTTAAACTGTGTTAGCCTTAAAACCTTAGAGAGGGAGAGAGAAAAAACAACGAAATCATTTCGTAGGGTGCCACGCTGCAATTTCAGCCTTGTCAACGGATACAATGAAGAGTTATTGTAATATTAAGCTCTGATGTTATTTTGTTACAAACTTTATTAAAAACACACACTTTACAGCTTAATAACCGAACCTTACAGTTCTTAATAATCAATCGTATTGTTTTCTCGCTGAGTTGTGTTTCCGGGAATTTTGGACCTTAATTTTTGGATGAATAAACTGGTTAAAAGGAAAGCCCAAATGGCTCCATGACACAATACTGATTTTGTACGGTATAAATTTGTACCACTCGACCTCGAAAATAGCTTACAACTTACCATTTCGATTCTAATTATAACGTAAAAGATATCCGACGGATGCTTTCAAGGAAGTAAATAATAATTTTTTACCTAAAAATTTCCTTGAAACGCTTGAGAATAATGACACGGTAACGTCACAGTTTAAAAGCCTTTTCCAAATCATTTGTCATTCTAATTATTTTTTTCCTTTAAATAAATGTCGTGCAAACATCATACCGGCACAGTTGTCTCTTTTGGGTGACTTGACTTTGCTTATAATGATGTGTTTGCTAAAGCAAATTTTGTTCGATGAGACGTGTTCGTGACACAGTTCGTGTTTCACTTTGAATCTCAAGTAGGCAACGGGTATTTTAATTTCTGTGTCGGCTTTCGCTGGGGCAGCGCTATTTGTAGAACTGAAAGCGTAAGTCTTGGGAACTCACTTCGTAACTTTTTAAATAGTCGTTGATACTATCGTAGCAAGCCTCGACCGTGAACTTTAATTGTGTCTTCTGTTGGTTATTTCAGGCTAAAATTAATTACATCCAACTCCGCTGCAATAATTATTTTCGGAAGGCGTTCGTGTTAGCCAAATACGAACAGCGGGTGAAGCCATGCTTCGTATTGCTGCATAAAACGGCAACTGATGAAAAACTGTTTTGATTTTCAGAAACTGAAACTATCAGTCCCTTTTGAATAGCACATTACCGCCATCCTCCAGTGGTATTGTGAGAACCACTAAAAATTTATCCGATGGCATAGACAAGTGAGGTGGTAAGTACTCATGCATTTTTCAGTGAATGTGTACACCAAACCGTAATTACCACGAAGTGACTGTAAGTATTGGTAATCAGTCGAGGTGCAAGCCAAAAAAACCCTACCACTTTCTGTGAACAGTTGACATTATTAAAAGCATGTGTTCGCCAATTGCAAGTAAATCAATTTTATAAAATAATCAACATCACAAACATACCAAAGAAAATCATATTGAATGTTCAGTTTGATTATTTATGAGCTGGGTTAGTCGCCGAACCTTTAAAAATCCGGAGTAAGGAGACAAGTTTTTTGCTCAACGAAAGATCCATAAGGATTATTTTTGGTTCAATGAAAGATCCACAAGAAAAGATGAAAAATTTTCTTTAAGAAAACTCCAGACAATGGATCAGAAACACGGGATAAGTCAAGTACTTGAAAGGGTTGAATAATTTAGAAAAGTAGTTGTCTAACGACTCTAGCGTAGTGAAAAGAAAGAGAGAGATGCCTCCATAAAGAGCACGATTTTGGTCTTAGAGGACGTCTCATTCATTATACCATGTTATAATTTTTATATCATAATTGCTGAATGAAAAAAGAGCGTTATTTCTCTTCCCAAAAATCTGCGAAGACCAAAACCAGGCTCTGTAATAAGGCATATCTTTATTTCTTGTGTTGAATAATCTGCCGATTAACCAGCAAGACTAGTACTCGTCTAAGATTCGTAAGTCGCTTTGGAAAGGGGGTAAATAAACCAGAAACCGCAGAAGAATCTTTTTACTTTCCCGCAATAAGCAAAGACGATTAATTCCTCCTTACAATGGAGTATTGACAAGATTGCCACCTGGCTCCAGGTTGTACCGGCATTGTATTCTATGGTTTTTATTGCCTGTAAAGAAAACAAGACATCTTTTTCCTTTATCGTACGTGAGACAGACCTTTTTCCTTTAATAAAAATAATTTTTTTTTTACTAAAGAACTTGTTGCTTTTGAGCAAACACGTTGCCATTTACGTCAGGTTTGCGTCTAAATTTGTCACCTAAACGGTTGAAAATTAATTGCGAACGTGCAAATAGAAACAATGATTCAAGGCTACTTATAGAAAACAATTTAGGTTAGAAACACTCCAGTAAAACGGTACTATCATCAAATACGTATTCTAATTTTTGATGTCTTTCCTAATTTTTTTTCCCGAAAACACGGCAAGTAAAACATCGACTCACCTCTTACACCTGCAAAATTCAATTAGTGAGGACCTAATCGCTATTGTGCGTGTTGTTGGAACTTATTTGCATAGCTGTGAACAAACTAAATGTTCCGCGACCACTAAGGGGAAGTCATATAAAATTTACAACCAGCATATCTAAAGACCACAGAAACAGCTGCTGTTGTATGTCGACTATTTTATAACGGCTACTAAACTTCCGTTGACACAACAGCCAATCCATAGCTTCACGGTTGTTCCTGTATCCCTAAAGTGCAAATTGCGATTATCAGTTTAACAATTCAAAGTAATATTTTGTTGAAAGATACATTATGTGAAAAAGGCACAAGTTCTCCTAAGCAAATTACAGTTGTAGGCCTCAAAAAGTTCTTTTATACTTTCTTGAGGGCCCTTACAAAAACCACTTTGGCGATTTGGGTTCATTATTATTATCATTCATTACTATCTTGAAATGTTCCTAGCAGCCCAACAACGAAGGAAACATTAAAAGACGAAATTAATAGAACTATCAAAAATAACCTTATTCCTTGAGCCTGAATTTGCTCCATCTGCTGTCATGTCCGTTATTAAGCCCTGAGGGGTGACTTAAACCGCGGTCCAATGGGTTCAGCTGATGAAAATTGCAGTTTTCAAGGAAAAAATGATCTGAAACGCCGTCTCGTGGCAAAATTAGTGATCCTAACTTACATCCGTTGTCACCTCCGTTATAATTTCCGTTTCAAGTTTTTGGCGACTTGGGCCCGACTGATGCATTGAAAGCGTAGAGCTTTATCAAAATAATGCTTACCACTTAAGAAAAATAGCAAACTCGAGTTTCTTTACGGTTAATAACGGTGCAATTAAAATCTGTTTTTTATTCCAAATGGAAAACTCGCGCGTGACTTGAATTGTTCAAAAATGCCTTATCATTTAAAACAGAAATAAGTGGGCTTCTACGAAAAGCGTGTGCTCACTGTTCATGAATGGGCACCAACGAAGCAAATTTCCGAAAAAAAACTATCAAGTTGAATCGCAATCTATCTATTTTTCATTTGTTTGTATGATGACGATTTCGGAGTCTATTTCGTTTTCATTATTCCATCGGATCCGATGTAAACAAACTTAAATGTGCCAGTGAATTTATTGTTCTATTCCATCGGCCTAGGAAACATATCGTAAAATCTAACTGTTTTTGGTTGACTTTTTTTCGCTTGCGTTCATATTTTCTGTTTGATACGACATAAGAAATCGGCGAAATATCAAACATGATTCAATTTCTTTTTTATAATTAAATTCATATCCAGCGTTAAAACGACTGCGGATGACAACGAAACTGTCATCCACACGTACTTCAACTGCGCTCACAAGACAGATGTCCCTCTACGTGATCCCGGATATGGATCCCAACGTGATCATTTGGAAAGTTCCTGGATGCCTGATGCTTATCATGCGTGACGATTTTTGTTTAACCAATTGTAGACCTTGCTTTTAATAAAGAGAAAGAGTGTTTTCTGTAGGGATGATGACACCAGATACATCAAACCAGATATACGTGATTGGCATTCCAACTCGGCCGCTTTGTAAAAATGACATAAGGGTCTGACATTCTACACAATAGATTATAAAGAGTTCAACTTCATCTAAGCAAATACACTTCCTTTGGGACTAAGTATTACTGAATGCAGAAACATAGACGAAAATTCTGAAAGGATATCCTCGCGATTATTCAATGTACTGGGTCAAAATTCTTGATTCATAATAGCCAAATCGAGTTCTGCACTATTTTCAATTTTACCGCGTAATGTTTTAGGAAAGCGAGGCGGGAAGCCAACGTTTTTGTGAAAAAAGGTGATCATAGAAAGTGCATGGACCATATTCAAAGCTGGAGGATTTTCTTTGAATCCAGGTAAGCTTGTTCAATTTTGTTTTTTTTAACACTAATCGCGGTAAATAACCTTCTTCGGCTTAAAGTGAAATATCTCGAAGTGTTAACGTGTTCGTTCGATAACCTCTGCGAAATATGTGAGTGATTTTTCGTTGCAGTTTTAATACGGTGTTTGATATAATATTTAAGAGAAATTTCTCAGTAGATACTCAAAATACAACTAATTTCTCCTCTCAGAATGGAAAAAAGCGTTCGTGCTCAGCACTTTTGAGGCTCAGATAATCATTCAAAATGAAAATCTAATTCAACTTTGGTTACAAAGCAATTCTCCTCACCCACTTAGTACTTTTCTTAGCTTCTAGTTATGAGATTATCGCGTTACATCAAGTTTTCTATTGAGAGAGATCATGATTAAGTGATACTGGGATACAAATCGCATTGCAAAGAATTTAATCAGGCCCCTGTTTATCATTGCGGTTTGTATGTTTGTTTCTGTTCTTTTTTTGCTTTGCGAAGTAAGTATTACAACTTAATCAACTGCCACTACTACGAACTTACAGCTTTTTATTATTTTTTTCCTTTCGTTATCTGATTTAGAGATCATATCTAAGCCACGTTTTTGGATTTTGTAAAACCTTTCGTTCAATTTAAGAAAGAAACCTGCAACTCGCCATAATCGTCCGCGTTGTACTTAATCCTTTGATACGTCAGCAAACTGTTCTTCGACATTTTCTTCTTGCAATGTCAACTTTATTTTTGTTTTATGTCGGGAAAGAAAAGATGTTTATTTTTCTGTTAGAGTCTGCTCCTTATCTCAATATTTCGTTCAAAAGTGTTTGCCTATTACTGACTTCTAACGCCTATGGCTCTTCGGGTCCTCAGTTTGTCAAGGTCAGTTACGAAAGCTAATTTAATTTTACACAAATAACTATTCTTGACTGACGGGTTTCAGTTTACGAAAGAAAAAAGAAAAAAAAAAAAAAAAAAAA